TGCTGTTTCCCACTTGCTGTTCTCTGGTATTATTGGGAATTTTATTCTCTCTTATTACCAAAAAAAAAAAGAAAAAGGAAAAAAAAGGACTTTGACTAGATAGCCGCTGAGAGATTGTGTCAGGAAATCCTAGTATTAGTAACACCCTTCCATTTCCTCCTATTCAAGATTCTGACCCTGTCATGTCTAAGAACCCAAAAGCCTAGTGCTTTAAGAAATTAAAAGATGTTTTATTCTTAATTTGTAGGAAGGAATTAGTTAACGACATTGGATGAATTGAAGTTTACCCCGGAAGAGAGCAGCGGTGAGGCTGCCATCGCCAGTACTGATACTCCTTATCAGGTCTACCGTGTTCTTGGCACGTTAACTGCGGCTGTATGTACGGACACTCCGATTCCTCGTACAGCGGCCTGTTCAACTCGTCCCTCACCCATCTCCCACTGAATATATCACACCCTTCTTCGGTTCTCCCTATGGCGAATGGAAGCTTCTCCCATTTCTTCTCTAACCCCAACACAAAACCCATCTCAGTGATAAAAAGAATTAAACAGAAATGAGTGCAGAGTACCTGACTCTGTTTTCAAGCCGGTTAGGGGAGTAGACTCACCGGTTCTTGAGAAGGGTCGGTCGGGGTTTAGCGGGAGTTGACCAAAGAGGCACATGAAGTCCTCGCCGTAGAGGACGGAGACGAAGACGATGAAAGCAATTAACGTAAAGAGATATGGAGACAACCGGGTTTTCCTAAGAACAGAGAAGGAGGAGGAAGAAGACGGAGGTGTCTTCATTTTTTCTCTGCTTTTTTTTTTTTCTTTTTATTTTGGTTCTGTTACTCCATGTTTGAGTATTCGATTCTAGCTGTTCATAAGGTTTTTATTACTGTCTGTGATGTTGGGAATTGAGATTGGATACAAAAAGCTGCAACTTGAATTGGGATTGAATGGATACAGTTAGTTATAAATATCATATATTTATATATGTAACTGTCTGATTTGATGATTTGGGTGTTTAAATCTTCTGATGGATTAATTAATTAATTAATTAATTTCTTCTTATAGGGTGATTAATCGTGCTTAAATTATTTGATTGGAAGCAAATCATTGCAGCAGTGCATCGAAATTAAGAAAATAATTAGCTGTAGTGTCCATATGGTTAATTGATAGTAAATTTTTTATGTAATGAAATCTTACATATGTTTAATTGATAGTAAATTTTTTATGTAATGGAATCTTATACAAAGGAAAATAGTTTTTTTTTTTTGAACGGATTTCATTTGGGGAAGGAAACTAAGAATTTTATAACCGTTGGATTAAAAATACATCTTATAACTCAATTTATAATCATTAAGTTGTGAGATCTAGGTATACAAAATAAAACTATTTATGCCTTTGAGTAGGCGATTTTCTAATGAATTATCTGTCTTATGAAATGGAATCTCACTCACTCTCTAAAGATTTTTTAAAGAATAAATGTATATAAACTCATAACTCATTGAATTAAGGGAGTGTTTGTCTTGGAAACCTTCTTTCTTAAATTTTATTAAATTTTTTATAAAATTATTTATGTATTTTTATATATTAATATTATAATAAAAAAAAGAAGTAAAAGTAACATTGTAAACATTTATTTTTCCTAACATAATTTTCAATTCGTAAAATTTTAATTTTACCTATTTAAAAAAAATTTTCCTATAACTTATTCTATATTAGTCCACTTAACAACTTTCTCTATATTAATTTCTCATCAAACATAATAAACTTAATAACTTTTTGTATAGTATTTTTTTTATTACTTTTTCAATTTTTTTTTAATAAAGTGCCTCTGATCAAATAGACTCTAAAAGAAAATACATTTATTGAGGAAATTTAGAGAGTGAATGAGAAACTAAAGAGGATTTGGCTGTGTTCAGATATAGGGCCATATGTTTCATTCGTATGTTTCGTTCTCTCCTAACGGATGATGACTTCTATATTTTCTTAATCATATTATTTAAACTTTATTAAATTAGTGTAATACAGACACTTTTCTCAAAATTTTTTTTAAAAAACTTATTTACAAACTCACATAATATTTTTAAAAATTAACTATTATATTAAATATTTATTTATATAGTTCATATATATTACTTTTTAAATTAACTTAATATTTATATTTTAATAAAAAATTATTTATTAATATATATTTAATAATATTAAATTTTACGTAATTAATAAATTAATTAACCTACTAATTAATAAATTTTCCAAAACTTATAGTGACATACATAATTGCTGGCAGCTACTTTAGTTGCTGTACCATGTAATCGTCAAAAACTTTTATGGAGCATGAATGTTAACAGTTACTTTATCTAAAATACTTTATGAACAAGAAATGGATAGCTGTAACAGGAAGCCCCACTCCATGTCAATGATGGTTATAATTTCCCTTGGCTTCTAAGTTAAGGCTCTCCTTGAAAATGATATCATTCTCCAACTTTATGCATCAATAATTACAATAACTTGGGGAAAATTAAAAAAAAAGGAAGAGGGGGTGGGGAGGGAGGGAACTGATAATGTGGTGTGGTTCCAGTATTCTTCAATGAGATTTAGGTGAGTATTTGGTGGCATTTCAGTTTCAAAGTTGTTGGGTCTTGTATATTTTCTTGTTATAACCGGCAAATCCTCACCGAATACAGAGAGCAAAAACTGTTAATACACAAGTTGAGCAGGGTCAATAATAATATAGTGATGGACCAACTAAAAGGATCACATGTATTTAGTGGGTCACCTACCTAATGAGTAAAGGACCACGTTATCTGCTTGAGTTTGATTGAGATTTTTGCTTGATTTGGTATATCTGGACTGGTGTTTGCTATGATGTAGAGTATCGACAACTAATATTAATATGCACTAAAACCAGTTTCTCGCTTTCTTCTCTGAGGAAACCGTAAATTCCTGATTCTGCTCCAAAGACGTTGCTGGATCAACAGAATTAGAAGCCTCCTTCCGACCTACAAAGGTAAATTTAAGTTTTCTACCAGAAACGCTTGTTAGAATTTTCTTTACCAAAAATTTCCCTTCTATTTCTTCTCCGAATGTCCAACCAATGGAATTAGGTCTTAGGACTCTTTTTATGTTTAACGTACAGCAATAAGCATACAGATGGTCTGAATAATTCTTTCTGAAACTATTGGAGGTAGTATGATATTAAAAAAATTGAAAATTGAAAGGCTGTTCCCACTCGGCATTTTAACTGAGATTGTACTGAATAGAAATTTTTTTTTCCCCTTTATTAACCAAAACTTTCATTAGAAACAGTCACAAGAATGTGAACAGTGAAATAGAATTGGTAACAGAGTTCCCTGTAGGCATTCAACAACGATTACAATGAATAGAATGTCATTGACATTGGAAAGATAACTAGCTGCAAAAAAGGAGATGAATGAGAGACTTATATGATGGGTTAATGACCAGCAAGAATGGTAGTTCTTCAGAGGATTCCAAGAATGTGCTTCATAGGTCACTGTCGTCATCTGTAATTATTTGGTGTGTTTGTGAAGGATTCAAGTGATTAGAGCCGAGACATCTCACAATGCAATGCTCACATGGAACGACCTTTGTGATTATTCAGAAGTTGACTGCAGAATAGGAGCTTCTGTAACCTTCAGAAGGTCCTCTGAATCTCCGCACTAAAGCAGAGAACGAGCGCTGCAGGAGGTAAGAGTGAATTGCATGCATCATTGTAATGTTAAAAGATTTGGTATCAAATATGTAACTTACAAAATTCACTTGGTGAAATGTACAACTAGAAAACTTGGCAAATTTTATCAGCTAAATGTTTTCAAATATATCTGCTAAGGATACAAGTAAATCGGTTAATAAAGTTAAGTAACATGTAATGTAGATGATAAAAAGAAAAAAAAAAAAAGAAAAAGGAGAAGTTATGTAGCTTGGTTGCCAAAGTCCTTTGATGGTTGTATCAAGGCCTTGGCTTCACTAGGCAAGGAGAACAGCTAATGCAGTTTAATAGTCCAATCATTTGCAAATAATAAACAAGTAAAACATTAGTGGCGGTTCATATAAGTATATATGCTATTTATAATAGAACAACTGATGCCACAAGAATGAAGTACAGAAACTGCAACCTACATATGAAAAGGGTACCTGAATCCTATGCGGTATGCTTCCCCAGAGTTCCAAGTTTGGGATTACCTAAGCAAAGAGTGTGAAGCAAAATTAGAAGAATATTCAGTAATCCACAACAAGCCAATGTGCCAACCAGACAGCCAAGAATAATGATATCTAAGCAGCTAACTCATATCTAATCTAATACAGAGCAAAGTAAAAGCATATATTTTAGCTTCCACAGTGCAATATTGAGTTGTAGAGGTATAAAACTCCATCTAACATAAGAATCACTTCCTCATGTCCTATAACTACTCCATCAATAGCCTATACTTAAAACTGTGAATCAAGGAAATATTAAACAAAGCAAAACTGAATTTCTCTACAAGAAACACATAATTGGAAGGGTCAAAAGAAAACAACTTAGAAGGAAACTTCAGAGAGAAACATACATCTATACCACGAACTCCAAGGATGAAAAATCGATAGACTGTACCAGCCAGCAGATAGGCTCCGAAGACACAGAAGATACTGGAGATGAAAAGAAAAAAAACAAGTTAGCAGCAGTAGCTTCTCTACTCTAGGACTAATATAATTAGCCATGTTCCATGCTAGAAATGATTAAACAAGACAGAAACCCTCACACTGTGAGAAGAGTACCAAACCAGCCCCATCCTTTCCCATGAACATGTATGATTGTTGCACAACCAGAAGGATGCCGGATCATTGTGGCCTGTAAAAAGAAAAAGGGTCATGAAAACTGGTTATGAATGTTTAAAATGCTTATCCACCCACAAATCAGGGAAAAAGGATTAGGATAAAAGAGATCTTGATGTCAGGCAATTAATTCACCGTTTGCAATTTTAATACAGTTGACTAATTTGTTACATTTTCTTCTGGAAAATGGCTTTACTGACATCCCTCCATTTTACATTTTAAGACATGACCCTTGAAGAGCTTAGTTAGTTACATTTTCTTATGGAAACTGACCTTCACTGCATAAATGCTGACAAATAGGAAAAAAGGTAATACCTCCCAGCTATGTCTTTAGAGAAAACATATACATTTGACTTCAAATGAAACAAGAATTATGTAAAAAAAAATGAAAAAAGAAAAAAAAAAAGAAGTAAGCAAAACTAGAATACAGAGCCTAGACATTGTGAATGAGTGTCAAATACTATTAATAGCATATTGAACAAGCAATATTGAAACTAAATATTAATTCTCATAAATCTCAACTAGGCAAAAATTTCAAAATCATTCAGAACTTGTATCATTCATAGCAAAATCCAATGCTTGAACATTATGCCATGACTGAGGATGTGTACATAAGCATGAGCAAGTACAACCACAAAGTCACACACACACACTATAATGGTCACAAAAAATTGAAGTCTGCATGAGGTTAGAAATTAGAAGTCATAACCCTATGCTGGAGAAAAACAATGTTAAACAACAACAACAACAACAACAACAACAACAACAACAATAATAATAACAACAACAATAATAATAATAATAACAATAACAATAATAATAGTAATAACAATAACAATAACAATAACAACAACAACAACAACAACAACAATAACAACAACAACAACAACAATAATAATAGCGAATGTTTTAGATACTCACGTAATTGCAGTTCCCTAATATCTCCATTGAATCTGGCCCCTATTATACGGCATTGCCAATAAGGTGTAGATCAGAAAAAACCAGGCATGAACAATTGCAGCAAATTTATTTTATCAGCAGTTGTCAAAGTTTAAGGAAAAAGTTCTCACTTGAACTCCGTTTGAATCACAAATGACTGAAACAGAGAGAGAGCAATTATTGTTTTGGCTGGCACTTGACATTCTAACAATGACACCCTTGCGAGGATTGTTTTTATCTGATATGTACATGTAATAGGACCATCAATATTCACAAACAGATTGTGATAAAAAGTTAAAGTTCTAAACTCTGAAATATCCAACAATACAGCAAGGGAAGGGTAAGAATACAAGTAATACTGTTGTTCTTTTCTTGGGATTAGAGAGATACCAGCTTACCAATTATATCGACATTCATTTTTGAGACATGACCAATGGCAGTGCATACTGGGTAACCTGCATGTAGCCAAGAGATCCTATTACACGTTCCCTTCTCCAGCACAAGTAATTTGTCTTTTAAAAATAGGCAGGAACAAACCTTGACTTAGCTTGACCATTGAAACCATAAAAGACAATGGAAATAAGAAATCATGCTACAGAACAATAACTTTATTCAGGAAACATGAAGTTTTTAGAGTTGGCAATTAAATTTCACCCAGTACTAATTGGATTGTTGGTTCCCATAAAACAAGCAACATAGTGTAAGAAACTCTCCTCATTCAAAGATGTGTAAGATAAAACTATTACATTAAATGCATACAACTTTTCCAAATTTAATACCTAAAACGTTGCTTCCTGCAAGCGCACTGCATTCAATTCCACAGTGTGCTGGACCCCCGCAGTCCTAAAAATATGAAAAAATTGAATAATGGAAAAAGGGAAAGTATATCAAACATGAATTTACAATCTAATGTTGGTTTCTTTCACAATTATCCATGCAAAGAAATAATTTCTCTAAAATTCCAGAAGTAATTACCAGGCATTCAACACATGTAGGTGGCTCATGGTTGAAAACCATTCCATCACAAAGCTGCTCCACACAGTCCATGATAAGAAACCAAATAGGAAGATAAGTTTAAGTCATATGATATTAAGCATATACTGGTTAACAGCTTTGGAAGATGATAATGAAAGCACTAATACTAAATTACTAATAATTCAAAGCTTCTGTACAACAAGTCCAACCAATTTTTTGGGCAATATAGAGGACCTCAATAATTGCATTTGAACTTCAAAAGATCATGAGTCTCACTTCAACATGGACATAATGAAGTAAATTGAAGAAACAAACC